GGAGCGCCTGGAACGAGACCGCCCTTCGATTCAGCCAATTGACAAATTCACATTTCGCGAAGTTTGGCGGTCTATGAAGTCTCCTCAGGTCATCATGGTCTTCATCATGTTCTTCCTGGTTGGGACAACACTTTATGGCCTGGCCCTCTTCCTGCCTTCTATTGTGGCGCAGCTTGGATACAGTAAAAATAGGACCCAACTACTAAGTGTCGGACCCTTCGCCGGTGGTTTTGTTGGTGGGTTTAACCATTGATTTCCCTTGACGCTGATCCCACTAAAATCGCAATTTAGTCACTGTCCTATCTGCAATCATTTCTGACCGACTCGAAAATAGAGGGCTGGTCGCAGCCGCGATATCATTACTGGCAGTTGCGGGATATGCGATGAGCTTGGGTGCGTTTATTGACCTTTCGTTTGAATTTACGACGATGACCAACAGTGAATTAAATAGGCGCCAAGAACGAGTTCACAAGATATGGTGCTTTATATCTCATGGTTCCCGGGGTTTATGGGGCTGTTCCTGCCCTTGCCGCGTGGATGTCAAATAATTCAGAACCCCATTACCGACGGGCAGCTAGTATCGCTTTTGGTTTTGTTGCAACCAACTCTGTAAGCTACTCAAAGGGCCTTTAGGATCAACGACTAATCATCGTTTCAGGGAGGAGTGCTCAGCACATGGCGGTTCCCAACAAAAGAAGGGCCCAAATTCACGAAGACGACGATTATGAACCTGGTATTTTCGATCGTTGTCGTATTGGGCTGTGTGGCGAACACTGCGTATCTTCACTGGAGAAACCAGCAGAAGAAGAGACCTGGCTACAGAGAAGAAGTCTTGGCCAGATTTGCATCCGTTTCTGCAGACGAGAGAGAGAGAGAAACCCTTGCATGGGTTGAGCTCGGGGATCGACACCCAGATTACAGGTATACCCTTTGACCTCTTGTATTTCTCATTCCACACTTGTAGAGCGCGCATAGCTCACTTTTTACAAGCATCCAGTCGATTTTACCACGTTAAACCACAAGAAGAGACTCCTAATCCGTGTGGTTGAGACTCAACTTATCTAGTCAGATCTATGCTCTCTTCGCGACAAAGAGACATAATGAAACAGTTAAAACTAGCTGACATCTCGCTGCTGCCCTTTCATGCTCCCATCGGTTAGGTCATTTTGCAATATTGGCACAGAGACTAATCACTTTTAATGATGTCTTATATATTTGCTGTGGACTAAAGTGGAAAATTCCTCGAGAAATTGTGGTGTGTTGAATTCCGTCAATATCCTCAACTTCTTCGACGGCCACAGCATTTGGATCGCGTAGTTCTGTTTAGTACAATCCGCATCTTTCAGTCATTTTCGATTCATCACCAAAAAAAATTCGCTGCTTCCAGCTACAGCATTGGCTTTTTTCGTTGACCATTGTGGAGAAAAAGTCGCGTCGAGACGCGTTTCGTCACATGTCCGTGACTTACCAATTCAGGACACCTATATAAAGCGTCGCGCTCTTACCCCCCTTTGCCTTTTCCTCCTTTCATGCGTGGTCGGGCTCGAGACCGCTTCCGCTGCCAACTCTGGCCGTCAGCTCCCCACTGCTGCCCAAAGATGCGCTGTACCAAGTGCAGCAACCACCATCTCAACTTCCAGCACAACATATAAAAATGTTGTCGCAACGGTTCAGCGCGTCGCGCGAGAACTCAATCCAGCCGACACCACCGCTTTTCTTAGACATCTTGACGAAGTCAGCCAGATCAATTTGGATACCGTCTCGACAAATGTCTACAAACTCCGAGAGCGCATACAAGGCATCTGGTTGAGCTTGCTCCAAAGTTGCAATCGCCAAATCGATCCCAACGTCACTTTTCGGCCTAATACCGTGGTCAAGCAGATCAAAAAGTTTATTCCCTTGGTGGCAAGCGTCTTGACCATGCTCTCGAAATCCAAACTGACCTATCCCCCCAAAAGTGACGATGACAAAGCCTCTCAATGGTTATGCGACAATCAGAGCCACAACCCTCGAATCGGCTTTGTAGAACTTTACGACACTCATCTGCCAGTATTGCATCTGCCCACAGACAGCCAATCGCATGGGCTTCCTTATTCTCACCACAAATGGCCTCTTTCTGGAGTTGGGAGAACAACTTTTGGGCAGTGAGTCTGTTTCGTCCCGTATACCCAAATATATGCTAATATATGTGTTCAGTAATCCACGAATATTGTTTAGAGAGAAGTCCTCGCACCAAGCTTTTCTTTGGCAGAGTTTCACATCATACTGGTGACGTCGCTGGACAGAAGCCTCAACAACTGCCCCAGACGACTTGTCATCCTCATGTCGGGCGTTCGATTTCTCGTCAACTTCTACACCACCTGTCGCCCATCATGCAACGGAAACCAAATGGACCAAGCTTGGCTTTTCTTCGAGTCCGACTCTAGCAGATGTCCGTATTATCCGCAGAGGATATATGCGGTTCGAAATTCATATTCGGTTGAGCAACTTCAAGGTAACAAACCTCTACAAAAAGTCGAGCAATATTAACATGTGAGATAGGGCATCAGTCGGTGCGGCTGTTCAGGACATCGCCCTCCATCCCGTCCTTCTCGCCCACAATGCCTTCCTCGATCCGACCGTCTGGTTTATTGCCTATCTGTTCGGTCGCGGCGTTTTTGTCAAAAAGTACAAGACCTACCAAGAGTTTTATGACGATGACGCGGCTGAACTCTGCATCGACCCTGCAAAGAAATCCGAGCCACTGTTAGTATCGTGTTTCATTTTTTTTTGACCGTTTTCATTATTCTTACATCCCTTGTTAGCTTTTTCGAGGCCAACGCCTCTGGTAATGGGTTTAAAGACAACAAGACTCCGTCTACCGCAGCTGCTTACACCAAGTCGTTTGCCCGTGCGTATCTTGACGCTGGCTGGCCTAGACAAGCCCCTATGTCATGCGAAGAGGAAGCGGAGAACGATACGCTCAAATCTTTGGACGCAACATGGTCAATAGTATTATGAACCACGAAAATAACCAAACGATGGCGGAGAAGTACTACCGTCGTAGTCTCAATGGCCTCGAACTGGTCAACTGCCGACTCGGAGAACGAGCTGGCCCAAAAGAGTCTCATGCTGGCGAGTCACTGGAAGTACGTCGTTACGCCTATCGGAATGAGCGACAATTTAGCATTTCTTATAGCAAGATAACCGAATTCACCTCTTCCACGCAGTCTTGGTTGAAAAAACGCTGCGATATCAAGGTCAGACGGCACGCGAAGCCAAGCTGGACAAACGAGAGGCAACCAACCATCTTGTCGACAAGGACGCCGACGTTCTCGAAATTACAATGAATGTCGACAACCTCTGGGATTCTTACCTAGAGTGCTTCACTTGGAGTCAAGAGCCTTACCCATGCAGTAAATCAAATATGAACCGCATTTACAATCAGGCGCTGGGAAATTCTAAAACTGGGTCGCACAAGTTTAGGACAGGGATGAAAGAAAAAGCCGAACACGTACGTTTATCAGTTTTTTCTCAAGTATATCCCTACTCACATCTGTTTTCAGCTACGCGAGGAGCTGCTCAGCAATTCGCTGCCAAAGCAACCACCCGCCGTCACGTCCGCCGTGTACTCGACGATAACGTGGATCAAAGGCAGACAAAGTCCTACTTTAACGATGCTCTCTCTGGTACCACGGCTCAACGCGATCAAGCCATTGAACAACTACGGGGCGCCGGCTTGAAGAATCTCGAAAGGATTGTTGAGCAAGCTGACGACGAAGAGGAGCCGTTCGAAGAGATGATTGACAAGTATCTGGACACTGGAAACAATCGTACGTAGTGATCCTTTCCTCGACGCGCAACGCAACTGATTTGCCTGGTAGCTCTACATGAAGGACAAGTTGGCCCTTGCCAATTCACTGGAGATGTCGAGGCGTTGATACGTGCCATGCGATTCTAGCAAGCGACAGGCCAGTCGAAACTGATCCACACCATCACGCAGCCGTCGAAGAAGGGGAAAGAAATGGCGCCAAGCCCTCCTGCTGAAGATTGATGACGAACATCTAGCTCCGGCCCCACAGCCAAAGAGAAAACCTTCCAAGGGAAAAGCAAAGACTCGTGCCAACGACAACAAGTATGCACCTCCAGCTCTGGCCCGAAAAGGGGTAAAGCAAAAGCCCCCGCCATCGACGACGATTAGCTGTCCGAGGACGACGAGGATGAAGCACCAGCCACCAAAGATGCCAAAGACCACGACGAGTCTTTGGAGGTTCATGTTCTTGGTTTTGATACCGATCAGATGAGGAGGATAATCTTCAAGTACCTCCTCGAGCTTATCTTCTGGAAGGGTCGATCTGCGTTCATTTCAGTTTTATCTTTCGTCTTTCCGCTGTTGGCTCACTTGTTCTAATAGGTTATCGATGAAAATGGTAAAACACCTACCCCTGGCAGATTGCGCATCTCGGGGCAAGATTCATGTGGACACGATTCCCGTCGCCAAATACAAATGCCGAGCTCATTCTGTTATAAAGAACTGGAGCAGGATATGCGACGACCTTGTGGCGTCAATTATGACGCAGAGACAACGATGATTCTGACGGCTTCACATGCCTCTCTTGTAACAGCTGGGGTGCAACGGCTGGTGTCATCTTTTCGGACATGGTCAACGTTGACCGATATGGTCTCGACAAGTGCCCCGACGCTCCCTTCTATCGCGAGATCAAAGTCGAGCATGACGCCAATATACCTCCGGATAGACACGCATATACGCAACCCAAAGAACAGCAACAACGACGACTTTCAAAGTGTCTTCAAGAACCTGATCGCAAAGCAGAGCCGCCGGTCACATCGTCAACTTTAAACGATCGACGGATTGGGAGTCGCTGCAGAGGTCGAGCTGATGGGTTTTGACTTCGATCGTTTTTGATAAAAGACTCGCAGATTACTGCTTAATCGGGCTGTGATCGAAATGCCCTCCTGATCGCGAAGGTAAACCGATCAGTTTCAAAAGGCAAAAGTACTGAACCCCACCCGGATTGAACGGATGACCCTGAGGAAGCCTAAGTCACGTGACATCACGTGATCTGGAATCTCATACTCTACCACTGAGCTAGGGGTCCTTGAATTGGCAAAAGGATTGCTCTCAGATCAAGGGCAGAACTGGAAGACCTTCCTGATTTGGCTAACAAGCTGTGGATAAAACTACGTCATCGCTAGGCTTGAATACAGTCAGCTCAGTGTTTGGCCAAACTCCTGCGGTAAATAACAAGTATAGCCAGCTGACCATGCAGTGTGTGCTTCACTGAGCTGGATACCCTTGAATTAACCTACCACTGAGCTAGTGTGTTTGAATTACATATCGGATGGGCAATAATACATAACCCTTTGCGGTTACAGTCCTCGTAACCATACTAATACTTGAATAATGTTTTGATCAAATTCCTTCGGAAATGTTGTGGATCCATCTGTGTGTTCGAGGTAGGATTTACGGTAGCGTTGCCGTCGAAGCGAAGCCACTTCGAAGGGAACTCGGTTCACCTCGAAAATGCTGACACTTCGTTTCCACTCGAACAATCAAAGTGAACC